AAGGCAACTGGACTTGCTGTATTTTTCTTGAAGATGTTTCACTGGTCATCCAACCAGCTTTCTCAATTCTCATTCTGAATGGAGAAAGCTGGTTGCATGACTAGTGAAACGTCTTCAAGAAAAATACAGCAAGTCCAGTTGCCTTGACTTATTTTTTACAGATATACCATGGCCTGGATGAATGAGAACCTTCACAGACATAAGGAAGAGGTGTTCTGTAGTCCAGCAGAGGCTGGGATCACTGATGGGGATTTAAGTGCAGCAGAGGCAGTGTTGTCATCTCACTGCAGGATGTTAGGAGCTCACTGAATCTCTAAAAGGATTAGCAGATATTTTATTGTACTTGCAGTGTTTTTAAAGAGGCAAAACCTGCGGAAAATTGTATATTTTTTAAGTTTTCCAAGGCATGCAAAATAGGCTTTTCACTCTTAACTAAGTTTTTGGGCCTTTTAAAATCCTTTGTTTCCTAAGATCATATGCTCCACTAGGACAGGAAGTAAGGTATATGGTGCTCTATTCTCTGTAAAGAGCTGTAAAAATATATTTGCTATATATACAAGCTAATTTAGCATTCGGGATCAAGGGTCAAGCTAGAACCTGGAGGACATGTGCTTTAAAAATCATAAATGCACTGAATGCAAGAGAAGAATGACTTGGCCTTTAGGATGTATTCCAACCTGCACTGGGGTCCATCTCCCCAAGACCAGACTGTCATAACATGTATGCTATCCCTTTGCCTTTGTTGCCTCTAGGCACATGCCTCTTGTGCCTTATAATAAAACTGGCCCAAGTAAAAGCAATTCTAATTTCACTCATTTAATATGTATGTACCTGTATGTACAGAAGAAAATATGTAACCATTTTAGGGGGGTCTAAAAGTTTCTGGTTAGTCTGTTTTCTTTTTTAATTATTCTAAAAATGCCCTCACTGATATGCACTGCAGAATCACAAGAGGTTATTACTAGAGATGCACCGATACCGACCGTTGTACTTGAAAATGTCCCAATAATTATCAAAACTGATACCGGCCCATTAATTATTCAAATTAAGCACCTGCCCAAGGTCCCACATTTGCTGGGGACCTTGTAGCAGCCTTATCTCTGCAACATGAGCACAAGTGGAGAAGATTTGAGAGCACTGACATGGAACAGTGGCGTGTGTGGGGCTTACCCTGCAGTAAGATGCTGGGGAAGGAGTGTTTCAGTTGAACTTATCAGATTTCCTCCTTTGTCTCTCTGTGTTCTCTCCCACCCGGCCCTGATAGGGACACTGGTGACACCAGCACCAAAATTTTAGTCTTAGGGGTCTATTCACTAAGCAGCCAAAGGATCTAGCCGTAGCTTCGGCTGATCCTTCGGCTAGCTTCGGCCCCAGGACCCCTTCAATTCATTAGAATCGAAGGGCTGCTGTACTGGCTATTCCCCTATAGCCCGTACAGCTCCCGAAGTCGGCAGAGCGGCTCAGTTGAGCCGAATGCATATGAAGGGATACTGACATTACACACTGAGAGCGGCCTCTCCGTGTTCTCAGTGTGTAATGACAGATGTCGTTTCTGGTTACCTGGTAACAACCAACAACTGTCATTCCTCTCCCGGGCGCTCTGGGAGTCTAATAGGCTCCCGGCCGCCCGGGAGAGAAACACTTTCTCCCAGAAAGTTTTACTTTCCCTGCTCTGTTGTCTTTTTTTTTTCTTCTGACATGGAAGCTGTTGGCTGCCATCAGAATAAAAGAAAAAAAAACACCATAGGAATGCATGGCTACATTTCTATTGGCTATTTCAATTTGCAATAGCAAACTAGCTATTGCACCCGCCCACTGCTGCTGTCAATCAGCAGAGGGGACCTGAAGTTCTCCATCAGGTCCCCTCTAGTGATTGACAGCAGCATAGGGCGGGTGCAATAGCTAGTTTACTATTGGCTATTGCAAAGTGAAATAATTCCTATGGTGTTTGTTTTTTTTGGATTCTGACGGCAGCAGAACCGCCCTGCCAATATAAAACAGTTGGGCGGAGCTAGCTGTCACTGCTAGCTCCGCCCAATCGTTTTCTATTTAATTTTTTCTACTTTTTAAACTGTTTTTCTATTCTGCTCGGTACCACAGAGGTACCGAGCAGATTAGCCAAATGCTGCTCGGCTGCATTTGGCTATTCACTCACTGCTGTTCGGCATCTATGAGAATAGACCGAACAGCAGCGAGTAGCCTGCCGGAGGTTTGGCTTAGCCGATCCAGATGTTGGATCGGCTGAGTCGAACTCCTTCTGCACTTTTTTAAATAGGCTGTCAGAGGAGGATGCTGGGAAATCAGAGGATGCTATAGTGATGAACTGCTAGCTCTGTGATCCTGTTACACAGACTTTAGTGATAAATTGTTAGCTCTGTGGTCCTGTACCATGGACAGTACTGATAAATGGTTAGCTCTGCAGTCCTGTTACATGGACTGTAGTGATCTATTGTTAGCTCTATGATCCTGTTACATGGGCTATAGTGATGAATTGTAAGCTCTGTGATCCAGTTATATGGACTATAGCAGTGCACCACTCCTGGGACCCTCCACCTGAGACATCAGGCCAGCACATCGCAGCAGAGCGCCAACATAGAGTATGTAACAATATATTATTCTGCATTGCTGTATAACATATTGCTGGGATTTGTAGTCCCTCTACAGCTTGGTGTCAGTGGCAGAACTGCCAGTGATGCAGCGTTTGCAGGTGTGTCTGTGCCCTGGCATACACCACTGTCCTAAAATCATTAGTCTGTATTGTTTTAGAAAAACTGTCACATGCCACTTAAAAAAGGTATTGGTAATTGGTATCGGCGAGCAGTTGAGGAAAAGTATCATTACTTGTACCCGGTCTGAAAAAAATGGTATCATTGCATCTCTAGTTATTACTACTTGATGTACCCACCTACTGTATCTAGGCACTTTGTGCAATATACACACCTTATAATGATTCAATTAGTCAGTCTTGTTAAAACAAAACAGTTACATTTCTACTACCATGTGCTTCACTGAATATAACATCATTATCTTTGGACAAGTATACTCAGTAAAAAGCTCATCTCAATTCTTTATTATATGGCACAGTGCACCAGACAATTAGAAATGTGACTGATTCATTTTAAAGTGCATAATATTATTGAGAAAGCTTTGAGTAGCATTTTAGTTTACTTGGTACATGGTACCAAGGGAGCCTTCTTCATTAGTTTCTCGGTGTAGGTGTCCTTTTTAGATTGGTGTGGCAAAGGACTCTTCACCAGCTCACTGGAGAGGGGTGGCATCATACCTGCTCCCACCTGGGGTTGGGTTATATATATATGTAAACCCTTGTTGCACCCATTAATCTCCTGTGGGGCATCAAAAATATAGAAGGACCCACTAGTCAGCTAGCATTGGACAACCTTGCTTTTAGTGTGGTTAAACTTCTTCTGGGAACCTGACAAAGTGTTGACAGACTCCTTGTTTGCTTCAGAATGGGTTTTACTTTACAATATCAGTCTATGGGAATGCAAAACCCACTCAAAGCAAGTCACAAGATAGTTAACCTCAGGTTAAATGTACCTTTCAATTAATTCTGAATTCAGAAGCATCTCAAACCCAAAAGCCAATCTACATAGGCCCAAAGGGCTCTTTGCTCTCCTTTCTTCCATGTTTTTGCAACTCACAGCTTAGTAAAAGTGTAGATTTCTATCCTTCTTACATGATTTATCCTGCAAATTTTACCATGAGGCGACTTTCAGTGTCATGAGATCCAGTTTTGTTGGATCTCTTGTGTGACAATGCATGTTTATGGAAATATTTGTCACCAGAAAGATTTTTCAGTGCTCAGATCATCTGACCTCCATTTCTGACCTTGACATTTCAGATAAAAAATGTAATTGAGATTCATCAGAAAATGCACACACTGATTTTTTGAAGAAATCTTTAGAACATCAATTATGTTTGTAGTGTCTACTAGGCTATTAGTGATAGTCGGGGCTGTAGACAGCCTGGCTGGATTTGTAGTGGCAACTATATGGTTAATCCCAGGTCTCTAACATTGCCTGTACAACCCTGGGTGGAGTGAGACTCTGTCATATTGTGGGACAGTCAATGGTGGATACTGTAATGTATGTACAGTACAGCAGACAATCACTGGGCTTCCCCCAGCCAGTGGTGCATGCTTGGTGCCAGTAGCATGACAGTGCTACATATATTGGTGGGAGCTGCCATGTGCTCTCTCTCTCTCGCTGGTGACCAGCCATGGATTAGGGCTGGGACCTGTTCAGCCTGCCCCCAGGCTAGGCCAAGGCCTGGGGGTGGGCATGGGCTGGTATAAGGGAAAAGGTTTCCCTGAGGCCTCCAACATCGAGGAGGCCTGAGAGACTGAAAGAGGAAGAGAACCAGGACCAGTGCAGGCTCTTGAAGTACCCTGGAACTAAGTGGACTTCAGAGCATGGTTGGTGTCTTTCCTGGATTGAGGATCTGCATACATCCTGACTGTCTGTCACATCAGTGGTTATCTGATGTCCCTCAGGTGGATCTACAAGGATATTCCTACAAGGTCCGGTGAGTCTGGAGCTTCTGATGGTTACCCCTGGATACCTAGAACCCCTATGCCCTCTCTCCGACAGTGAATGTTCCATAAATCGTTTACTTAGCATCTTACTACTGGAGTGGACTTCAGTTTATGGGCACCAGAAGTGGGCGGTTAGAGCTAATGGGTGTGCGGCTGAAGATCATCCCCTGGACCAACTAGAAGTTAACCCGGGCACCAGCGGCTCCTCCGGGAGTTATCGCTACATGTTATTGAAGGATCTCATTGAAAGTGGCCACCTTTAATAATCTCATCTAAAATAACAGAAGACATATTGGAGATGGGACCCCTCTGCGAATGGAGACTGAAAATAAGAACATTTAGAGCAAAAACACTATTTTAAACAACACATTTGTACAATGCAGATAAGACATAACCAAACCAAATACACCTAATAACATTCCACAGAAAAAAGGCAATAACTTACAGCTCCCGAATTTTAGCGGGCATGCGTGTGCGTCCATAGGAAAGTCTTCAAGCTGCATAGGGCATTCGGCAGATATTGTCAGTCTGTTCAAATCAAAAAGAGGAAAAAGTTATACAGCAGTGCAGCCAGTGAGCATCCAATCATTGCTTGAGTGCTTATAAGCGATGGCCGCAACATTACTAAAAGGATTTTGAGGACAAGTTGAACTCCAAAATGCAACCTGATGTCTACTTGAAACACTGTATTAGCATCTCTTCAGGTATCAGATATTTTACGTATTGAATGAAAAATGCAGATGTGTCAGGTTTTACCTGTTAGCTCCCACAGCTGTCAAACTGCATTAACATGAGAAAACTCCTGTCTATCTGTTCATATAAAATACAGTCTTTACTCCCATGACACCATATCTCAGAGGACAGCTCTCTTATCATTGAGCCAAATGTCTCAATGCCAGCATCTTTATATGCTGAGCTGTGAACTGAATTTATCCTGAAAGTCTTAGAACAGAGGAGGATTTCAATCAAGCAGTTGCTGACACCACGGGCAATAGAATAGTAAGAACTGTTTAAGGTTTTATGGTGCCACTGAGAAATTGCTAAACAATCAAACATTCTATCATTTGTTTTACTTATACTTGAATGCCATCTGATGTGTTTAATTATTCAATAAAAAATTTAAATACATTCCTAAATAGCTATGCCACTGAAATTAAATTCTGTTTGGTTTCGGAGCTATATTATATAATACTATACATAAGGCTATAAAGGAAAAGAATAGGGAGGATAGACACTGAATTTAGATCTTCCAGTGTTGAAGTTTTCATTTTGTTGATAAAAAAAAGCATGTTATGGCATATGTTCCATTGATTTCCATTTTTTGCCATTTAATTCCTCATCTCTCCTTAATTTGCATATAACATATTACTTTTAATTGGAATTTTGCTGACTAATTCATATATGCAGTCATATCACCAATTACTCAATCCTCCCTGGATCTTTAGCTTCCAAACTGTTTCTCTCTACATCTATTGAGAACTAACAGACTATTGGGCTGATTTCCTAAAAAGGTTCGTGCAACAAATTGTGTTGAGTGTTCAATTATACAATCATTTTCAGATGAAATACGCTAATATAAGGAATTTGCTTTTTATATGATTGTATATTTGAATTGAATATTTCAGAAATGTATTGTGTGGAAATGTTTAGCTTTTTAGTAAATCAGCTGTCTCCATCAATAATCTATTTGATCATTTTCAACCTGTTTCTGTCGTAATTCCTGAAACTGTCCTTTGCTAAAGTTAAAATCTTCAGACTTGCAGTTTCTTTGATCACCAACTTTTCTCATTTTACCTACAGTGTTTCTCATCATCTCACTGTCTTCTACCTTCACCCTCTCATACTCTCTTCTCAGGCCCCTCCTTATCCTTGACTTCTGTGAAGGTGGTGCTCGAAACTATTTCTTGGCCTCTTATCTCACCTCCTGACTGTATCTGTTATATCTCCCTTCATGTTCTTTTTGCATTCTTAAACCTTTATATATGGATACGAAAAAAATAGTCTGATTCCATGCCTGAAATAATGATTACTGTTGAGAACTCTCCATTAACCTCAAATCTTCAATCTCAGTGGTAATATTTGATTCCTTTTTCTCTTTTAAATATCACATTCACTTCCTAACTAGCAGTTGTCATTTTTAACTCAAAAACATATTGCACCAGTCCTTTTCTCAGGAAAGCTACCGAGTATTGTACTTCATTTGGCAGTTAAGAGTTAAAGTACCATTTTTTTGGTTAACTCAGTAGATTGAAAATGATATTTTCAATACCCATTAGAATTCTTTATCAGGCATGATGTCAGGCATCATTCCTGCCAAAGAAACCTAATGAGGGGAATTTATCAAAACTGGAGCAGACAAATTCTGGAGCAGATTTATACTGCACCCAATCAGCTTCTCTGTCTCATTTTCAAATCTTACCTGAACCAACTGAAGAGAGATGCTGATTGGTTACCATGGGCATCTGCTCCAGATTCGGTGTGCTACAGTTTTGATAAATTCAACCCAATTTATTTTGAAAGCTTGCTGTTAAGTTAGCCGATAAATGGTACAGCTGAAAAAGCTACAGTATCATATCCCAGCTTGATTATCGTAACACCCTCCTGCGTGGTCCACCAACAAACAAAATGGACCCACTCCAGCAACTCCGCTGCTTCACTTATCTGCTTTTCTTCTAGCTACTTAAACATTGTTCCTCCCAGTCAGTCTCCCCCAATGACTGCCTAAAATTCAGTGAACTATCTTTCTAAATACCACTTAAACTTCAGCCCCCTTCATCCTAACACTCTTACACCCAGCATGAACCTTTCTTCTGCTCTGGCATTCCCTTTCATATGCTCTTTAGCACTTACCAACCCTTTATACTGTTAAGCAAAACCATAACATTACCTTTTTTGGCAAATGTATAATCCTATCAAAGATATTCTTTTCTGTCACCCGTCCAGCACTGCTTCCTCATCCACAATCTGACAATGTACATGTTGTCACCTTATATACAGCTTACTTTTTTAATTGTTCATAGATGTTTTGAGTCAGAGGCGCAAAGTTTTGAAGCAAAAGAGTAAATATGACAGCCAGGCAACTAACATTTTTAGGAGAGGTTAGAAATGGCACCCTCTATGTTGTTGTCATAAAAGGTTTTCTTTAATTCAGCAAGCATCTTGTAGAATGTGTGCACAGCCACAACAAATCTTTAGCAAGACACTTGCAAAATACAGTAAAACCTCAATTGATAGAAAAGCCAAGTACAACATATACCCTTTCTAACCTTTTTATGTTTACTACAAAATTAAATGAACACTTAGGGTGCAACATATACATTTTTGCACACAAGACTCATGCAACGTTCACCCAAGATTCACAATTTCTTTTAATTGGATTCAATCGCTTTTAATTCAAAACAATCGCTGTGGTGGGAGAACAGCTGTCTGCCGCAAAAACTAAGCTGGCCGGGCTGAGCCGCCAAGGACACTCTGTATCTGGATGCTGTGTAACAAGTACTTGTCAGCGGTGTCTCTAAGTCAGATGGCTCAGGAGACAAAACGGTGATGACGTTGAGAGCGTACTCCGACTGAAACAGTGAGGGGGTGGTGAACAGTTGGAAGTGATGTGTAAGGGGTAGATGGCTACGCGTTTCGAGGCGAAGCCTCTTTGTCAAGCTCGGGTGAAGAAGGAGAACCGAATTGCGGGAAACTCATGATTTTTAAAAACTGACAGCTGGGTGGGATCAGCCTAGCTAAGTGCTGCCCGATATGCTTATGGGTTGTGCACTCATGCTCGATCCGCCCCCCTATACCATTCTACCTATCAGGGCAGCGTGACTAGTGCTGATCCCGCCCAGCAGTTAGTTTTTAAAAATCGTGAGTTTCCCGCAATTCGGTTCTCCTTCTTCACCCGAGCTTGACAAAGAGGCTTCGCCTCGAAACGCGTAGCGATCTACCCCTTACCCATCACTTCCAACTGTTCACCACCCTCTCACTGTTTCAGTCGGAGCACGCTCTCAACGTCATCACCGTTTTGTCTCCTGAGCCATCTGACTTAAAAAACGACCGCTGACAGTACTTGTTACACAGCATCCAGATACAGAGTGTCCTTGGCTGCAACGGCTCAGCCCGGCCAGCTGAGTTTCTGCGGCAGACAGCTTTTCTCCCACCACAGCGATTGTTTATATAAGATTTCAGCCGTCCACACCACTGTGCTCTACCTGGCTGCATCTTCCCAGGGGCTCCACCTGACTACCTCCAGTGTTTTCAAGGACATCTTAAATGTGAGTTTTTTCACAATTGCGTACAAACAGTAGTAGCGCTCTCAATACATACATTGTCTCAGAATTTTGTGTAAAACCATCTATAAATATACCCTTTAACGTTTAAATTGTTGCTGCAATGTTTTGTTTTTTTCTCCTGGCATCTAGATTATGACTAATGTTCATTTATACATTGGCATAACTTAATAAAGCTTGTCTTTGCCTTTTGTTAATTTCAAAGTCAAGTAAAGCCCAGTATTGTAAAATATGAAAACTGCATGTCACTGGAGTCCCAAACCACTGTTTTTGTACTACACCCTCCATGACTTGCAGGTGATAAACTAATATGAACAAAATGTTTCATTATGGATTTACTTCAAAACAAATTAACTTGGTTATAAATAAATAAGTATGGTTTGATTGCAGAAGTCAAATTTAATGTACTTCGTTTTTGTACTTTAATGTCTTGTGCTGTCTGTCCTTGTTAAGCGCAGAGCCAGATTATTTCATACCTTTGTTTATTCCTTCCATATTCGCGTTTCAGATTTTGTCTGCCTTATAATACCAAATAGCATTGTTTGCATGTTAATGTTTCTTTTCAAAGTGGCGTGTATTGGGCAGCAAGAGAGTGAAGAGAATTAAAAATACTAAATTGAAGCCGAGGCTTGTTATTCTCTAGGCAGTCTATGGCTTCCCAGGGGATATCCATTTACCATTCCTAATGTAATGTACTTTCACTTCAGTGGCATGAAACTAAATGGGTCTCCTGGTTGCTTGCTTGCTACTGATTTTATTCTATGATGTTAGTTTCAAGCACTGCCTGATAGCAAATGTGAATGCTTGAGAGTTAGTTGATGTATATTAGCGCATAAATGGCACGAAATAGATTCATGTAAATTTGTGGTGTATGAGTCTTTTACAGAAAACTAATCCTAAGCTTTTTCAAGCTTGGTTGTCTGATGGTAAATGGTGTTTTTAGCATCATTTTGTAAATGTATTACATAGCAACAGAGTGTATAAGACCCAAGAACAGTGTACTCAACAACATGCTATGGAAAAGTCATATTTTATATTTGTTTAAACTTGAACCACGTGATCAAAATATATTTTAAATCCATACATACCAATAAATAAATTGGTATTTTCTTTAGTGAGGTAGTGTAGTGAATTGATTACAGCCAATCCTCAATTTTGTTTTGGGTCCCCTAATATGTGTGTAGCTTAGTGTCTACCACTGTTCCTTTACTGTATAGGGGACCTGGGTTAAATTTTTTCTAAAAACAT